ATCAATAAAATAATGTCTGCTGTTGTGTTAGATGATGTTACCTATCTCACAATAGAATGTGATGTGTATTCGTTTTTTTCTTCATTCAAGCTTTGTGTTTTTTCGTTTTTTTTCTTCAAAAGAATCTATGTTTAAAAAAGCATATACAGGGTTAGAGTGCAAGTGTGTCAAGTGTGTGACAAAAATCAACATAGATAGTGAATGGAAAAAAAGTAAAAAACGATGAAATAAAAGAATGAAAGAATTGGAATAAAGGTTGAATGAATGGAAAAAAACAAAGTAAATAATTGAACAGGTTGAGCACACCGAAAGAAAAAACACTGAAATTCTGATTCTCATCATCATCATTATTATTGTTTGATGATTACATCTTAAGTATCATCATCATTTTTAACCAACCAAGGTTGAATTTGTCAATTTCGATCATGTGATAAACACAGACACACAAAAAAAAGCTTGTAAGTGTGTAATGAGTACTGATTCGATGATGATGTACTTCAATGGCGGGAAAATCTTCATCAGTTTCGCTTTTGTTTTCGAGAAAAGCGAGAAAAAAATTTTTTTTTTCAGTAAATTGAATGAATGGTTGATTGTATTTTTCTATGTTGGAAAATTGATGGATGGATGAATGAATGGATTGAATTGATACTGTTTGAAGTTTTTTTGTCAAAATGTTTGTTTGGTTGAATGAATGGAAAAGATGTGTAAACGAAACTTTGTTTTTTTTTCAAAATCATCATCATCATCAATGTTTCTTTATGTCAATATTGATGTTGCGATCCGTTGTTTTGTTTAACAGTTTTTTTATTTTGAGACAAACAACATAACACTGGTTCTGTGTTTTTTTCTGCAACATTTTCTTTTTGTCCATTGAAAACAAACATGAATTGAATGGAATGATTTTTTTGAATTTTCAATTTACCGTGTTTAACAGAGTTTTTCTGCATTTTTTCAATTCATTTTAGTCACACATTTATAATGACACCTAATGATGATGATTTTTTCTACAAAAAACAAAAATTTTAATCGATATTTTTCCATTGCTAATCGATCATTTTCTGGATTCTACCGTAGAAGAATTACACAAACAAATGGAGAAAATATTGTTAATTATTCTTCCTTTCCTTTGTTTTGTTTTTCCAAATATTTTGTTGACCATAAACTTTCCTTTATTATTATATAATTGCTAATGATGATGAGTTTTGTTTTCGGAAATTTTCCTCTTTTTTTTCCCCCGGAATACTAATTACAACTCTTTTCTCTCTCTTTATACCTGCCTGGCTGCCACAAACCACAAACAATAAAAATCAAACAAACTCATTAAAACTTACCTGAATGAATGAATGAAATATTCATTCATTCATTTAAATATGAGATAATTGTTTCTTTGAGGGGGTTTCATTCAACAAAAAAAACCGAAAAAAATTACCGGCCGGTTTCATTTTCTATCTAATATTTTTTCTACTTTCATCATTATCCGCATTGTTTTTTATTCTATTTTTACTTGATTTTTTTTTTGTTATTTCTTTGGTCTCTTGTGGCCCGCTTTAGTGAACAATTCCAATGTGGCCCATATAGGTATTATCATCATCTTGTTGTTGTTGTTGTGGTCACCAA